TGTAAGCCAGATTCGTGAAGAGCAAGCTGGATTTCGTCGAGGTCGTGGCGGCATTGAACACATCTTCACCTTGCGGCAGTTGTTGGAGCACCGTCACATATACTGACGGCCCACCGTAGTCGTGTTCCACGATATCAAAGGTGCATTCGATTCCGTGGACAGACATGCACTATGGGACTGTCTACTCAGGAAGGTGTCCCTGAGAAATATGTGAATGTTATCCGAGCACTATATGCGCGTAGCTCGGGCAGAGTGAGGGTTTACGGCTATTTGTCGTCGTCCTTTAATATCTTCAGCGGCGTGAGACAAGGACGCTTGCTGTCACCTTACCTCCTCAACTTCGCTGTTGACGAGGTCATGGAAATCACGTTCACAGGACACGAATTAGAAGGTGTGGAGCTACTCCCAGGCGAACGACTTGACTTAGTGTATACTGATGTTATTGCCCTAATCTGTGACAGCTCCCAGACGTGCCAAGCGGCACTGGACAGATAAGCACTAGCTGTCCGTCACTTCGGGCTTTGCTTCGCACCCTCGAAGTGCAAAGCGTTCCTCCAAGCTTGGCCTGGACCGCCCCCTACGCTGACCCTTGTTAGGGAGCAGCTAGAAGTCATCCAAGGACTCAAATACCTGGGAAGTTGTATCCGCGCCCGTGGGATTGAAGATGAGATCGCGAACCGTATAGCATAAGCAAGGGGCGCTTTTGATAACCTTCGCCACTTATGGCGCCGGCGCGATATCACAACTGCGTTGAAGGGTAGAGTGTACAATGCAGCAGTACATCCGACCCTACTGCATGATTGTGATACCTGGCCCCTTAAAGCAACGGACCTGAAAAGGCTAGTTACGTTCAACCACCGGTGCCTTCGCAATTTAGCTCAAACCAGTTGGGAACACCGCGTGACCAAAGAGCGTGTTCGACGCCTTGTTTACGGCACAGGGAAAGGAAATGAACAGCTCAGCACCGTTATTTCACGCACCAGGCTCCGATGGCTCGGCCACGTGTTGTGCATGCCAGCCCACCGACTCCCGCGACGTGTGTTGTTTGCGCGCCGGGGTTGTGGATGGAAGAAGGGGAGGGGTGGCCAAGCGATGGCTTGGTCCAGAGGAATGAACGCCCTCACGTTTGATCTGGCATTGGTTGGAACTTCCATGGATGGGGTCCGAAAGACGATGAACACGTTTGGTTTGACACACTTGCTGACAGGGCCAGGAGTCGACCTCAGTGGCGTTCGTGCTGTGATTTTCTTTGTCCCACCTCATCCCTCCTAGCCTCCTCTCTAAACACGATCTCATTATTTAGCCTTATATAATCTTGCATAGTAATTTTTTGTGCACAGTAGCCGGCTGGTAGCTTACCGGAACGATGCCCATCCGTTACCGGTAGCTCAGCCGCCTTGTAACGGTTGCATTTTTCCAGTTTTCTATGTATTGCGGCACAATGGCTGAGGTGTTTCTCACCTCTAGCTAAGGTGTATGGTGATGAGGATGATCCGTGCGGACTGTCGTGGTTGACAAATGCACGCAACACTTAAATGCTTTCAGGGTGGTGTATCCGGAGGTGTGCATGGTTTTGTGCGGTGTCCACCTGTTACGGGACAGAAAAAGACGATGCAGTCAGCTCTCAGTTGCTGACCCAGCGGAAAAGGCTTTTCTGATCCGGTTTCTGAGGAACCTGCTATTCACGCCAGAGGGGAGGCTTTATCACGGAATTCTAAAAAACATACGGCAGCGAAATACGGAATGATTTCAGTATTTCCGTAGAACGTGGGTGGCATGGTGGAGATGTTGGGCGGCGCATCAATTACGGCACATCATGATGTTCGGATGCGATTCTACTAATCAAGTGGATAATGAAAATATGCATCTTAAAGGGACTTTGAGCGAGCGTCCCTCCTTACGGGCGCATTTCGAGGTTATTGTTCATCGTGCGAAAGGTATGGTTGATCGTCATAGCACTCAGTTATCGACAGAGTGCTTGCGAAATAATGCAGCTAGCGGTGACGTATTTGTGATATCAGAACTTGTAAGCAGATTGACGGCATATACTCGCGAAATGGTGATGAGGCATTTTCAGCGCACAACTATCATCGGTGTCCCGCCGGATAGACCGTTCCAGCTGGTGTCAGAATCCGGGTCGGCAGTCTACCTGTTTGCATACACCAAGGCAGTGACTATGACTGTTCTTTCAGTCGTCATTGGCGTACGCCTTACGGTCACATATTGCACGTTGTGGCGGAGTAGAATCGGAATGCGCACGATGTCCTTCAAGGAGGTCGATGGTTGATCGATCAAGCGGTGCAATCTGAAACGGCGGAGAACTTGGCTTGCGGTCAATGCGAAACGGTCTCCGCAGCTGGACATGCACACAGTTTGATAGATGGGAGCATAAAGATTCGAGGCTTGCAAGAGGTGCTTGGGGAAATCGAGGTAAACGTCCAAAGTCTCGGCTCAGAGGTACATCTGAAAGCCCTGGATATTTGGCCTGCTTTCGGGAATGTTATCTCCGCTAAGTTGGACTACGACATTCGCTGCGACACGTCAAAGTGTTCGAAAAATATACCGTTGTGCACGGCAAACGTACCACGTTTACTGGGAAGTCAGTGTAAAATTGAGGTACAAGTTATTACCGCGGCCTCATTTAAACTGTCGGCAAACTGTAAAGACCGCGTTTTGACGGATGGCAGTAGGGAATCCATCCCAGGCCCGTCAACTTCCGCTACGGTGGTCCCCGTGTCGAATCCAGGGAATCGGAAACGTGCGCGTGAGGATCCCTTGATCCATCGTGTTGTAAATCCGGCTCCCGGTACCAGCGCCATGTGCGCTACGCAATTTCGTCTGCTGCGGACAACTACCACCGCTAGATGCAGAACGCAGGGCAGACGTCCTGCACATGGGAGCGCAAGTGGCCAGGTTCCAACAACTGATTGTGAATTGTGTCTGCAGGAAGAGGACTTTATAACGCGTGGTATCGATGTGTCCTGGGTGATGTGTGATAGATGCTCAAGGTGGTTCTATCAAATGTGCGCATCATATCATGGTGAGGATACTTATGAATGCGATTCTTTTCCGTCGACACGAGACTGGACCTTAACATAGTGCGACAGTTTGCGTGCCTTATTGACCCACTGAGCTATACTGGGCAATGCCTTGGGGCACCTAGAGAGCTACTCCTACCAGGTTTGTCAGTGGTGAGGGGTCAAACTAACTCAGTCTCCCGGTCCTCCAGCTTAGGGTTTGAAATGGGATAGCGTCCATTTCTGTAAAACTAAAGCATTGCCACCCCGCTGCCTTGCAGATAGGCTTTTGAGCCAAAGGCTTTGGATGAGGACCCTAATCGTCCTCCTGCCTAGGTGTGGGCGCCCTGGCAGTATCCCACCCCACATACAACTATGACATTTTCTTCAAACATAAACTTCATCCTGCATCGGCCGTCGGGCCGATTATCAAGGGTCGCCTTATCTGTTTCATACAGCAGGGCGGATAAGCAAAAACATGCTACTGCTGGCGCCTTCTTTCTTTCTTTTCCATATTTTTCTCTTACTCCTATCCCGAGCCTCAGTACTAACCTTCCTTCTGTAATTCCCAGCTTAACTGACAGCAACCGAAGCGCCACTGGAGTAGAACCATCTGCAGCCACCGTCCCACCACACATATTAGACGCATGTCGGTAAAAGTCCCTTATAAGGCCACGCTATCCCGTTTCCATGGCGACATTCAATGTTCGCACTCTAAGACAAGCAGGTCAACAGGCTGCACTAGCACGCACCTTGAACACACTGGGTATTGATGTGTGTTGTGTGTCCGAAACTAGGATCAATGACCCCAACGGGGTTAATGAATTAACTGCACCCGGCTTATCCTCTCGTTATTGGTTGCACGCATCCGGAGACGCCAATGCAACACTCGCGGGTCAAGCTGGTGTAGGTATCATTCTGAGCCCCAGGGCTGAGCCATCGTTGGTTGATTGCATTCCGGTGAACAGCCGTTTATGTGCAGTCCTTTTGACGACATCAGCTAAGGTTGATTCACGATGTAGTACAAAACCTTTGTTCGTGATTTCCGGTTATGATCCCACCGACTGTAGTTCAAATGCTGTCAAGGACGCATTCTATCACGAACTGAATGCGCTACTACGTAGTGCTACTAGTTTAGATATTATAGTACTTGCAGGGGATACGAACGCACAAGTAGGGCGTTTGAGCTCTTCAGAAGCTCAGATAGGTAGTAAATCTGGGCTTAACGCCGAACGGACTGACAACGGTGAGCGTCTGCTGCAACTTTGCGGAACACCAGTTGTTTCTTAGTAACACTGCTTTTAGACACAGTGGGCGCCGAAGTGCCACTTGGCGTTCTCCTGTAGCTGACCAGCGATGGACCCAAATTGATCACATAGCCATCATTTACAGATGGAGTGGTTCCATCCTGGATTGCCGCTAGTACTGGAGTATCTGCGTCGACTCTGATCATGCCTTGGTGCGCTGTCGTTTCTCCATGAATTTTACCGGAAGGCGCACCAAGCGTCCCCTACGATTGGCAAATGAGAAATTGTCTCAGTCCTCGGTCAGGCAAGCCTATCAGGACGCACTCTATACCGAACTTCCGCAGTCATGCCCTAATGACGCTGAGCTTCAGTGGAATAGGATCTCGGCCGCCATGCACAATGCAGGAGCATCTGCTTGTGGCACTATCCATCATCACCACACCAGTCACTGGACATCCGAGAGATTGGTGAACCTGTTGGAATCTAGAAAACACCTCCAGGCTCGCTCTGAACACAGTGCGACCAGACGGGCTATTAGGCGTGAACTAAAGCAGAGCCTACGTGCTGACCAGAAAGCCTATTGGACCAGTAGGGCTCAAAAAATGGAGGAGGCAGGGGCAGTAGGCAATTACTGCAAGCTCTTCCAGCTTATCCGCACCACTGGTCCCAGAAAAACAGGCGTCAGGAAGACAAACAGAGACAGCGCGGGTACGCCGATACACAACATGAAGCGCGTATGGCTCGTTGGGCGGAACACTTTCGAGAGCAGTTAAGATGGCCTCCTGTTGCCGGACCGGTTCCTACTCAGGTGATGCAGGACGAGCCATGGACGGTTAGTTTAGAGCCTCCGTCGGAGGCCGAGGTCCGAAACGCGATTACAGCCCTTAATCGTTTTCGTGACGCTGGCCCGGATTCCTTCCCACCTGCACTATTTAAGGATGGAGGTGAAGTCTACTACAAAACACTGACCTCCTTAATCGAATGTGTCTGTAAAGAAAAGAGCGTCCGGGCTAATTGAAGCGAGTCGCCCATAGTGGCAATATACAAGAAGCGTAGTCGCACAGACTGTTCTAACCAAAGGGGTATTAGATTAACGCCAAATGTGACAAAATTATTGGCCTCGATTATCGTTCGTTGCCTCATTGCGGAACAGGAATCTCGGATTAGGGAAGAGCAGGCCGGTTTTCGCCTAGGACGTGGCTGTATAGACCATTTATTCACTTTGCGGCAGGTGCTAGAGCAGCGCCACCCATACAGCAGACCGACAATAGCTGTATTCCTCGATTTCAAGAGTACGTTCGATGCAGTCGATCGATGCATTCTGTTCAAAATACTTGCGCAGAAAGGTGTTCCCACGAAATATATGAACATCCTTTGTGCTCTATACTCGAACACTACAGGCCGCGTCAGGGTCTACGGTGTCCTATCGGATAGCTTTCCGACCGCAAGTGGCGTTCGTCAGGGATGTCCAATGTTTCGTTCAATTTCGTCGTGGATTTTATCATGGAGTGTTCCCTTGCAGAATCTCACGATGCAGGCGTTGAAGTGCTGCCTGGTGAAAGATTAGTTGATCAAGCTTATGCGGACGATATCGTCTTGCTTTTCGAAGATGTTGCGGCGGCCCAATCAATCCTGAATAACCTGTCCAAAGTGATTCCATTATTTGGTATGCACTTCGCACCTTCAAAGTGCAAAGTGTTGCTGCAGCACCACCAGCCACTTGATGACCGCTTGACGCTTGCTAACGAGGAACTCGAGGTGGTTAATCAATTCACTTATCTTGGCAGCTGCATCAGCAATGATGGGCGCATAGAAACAGACGTCAGCTCACGCATTGCAAAGGCCAGAGCTGCCTTCTTGAACCTGCGGCATCTTTGGCGACAAAATGGGAGTTAACCTTCGTCTGAAAGACCGGGTATACAAGGCCACAGTGAAGGCCGTTCTGCTGTATGGTCTGAAGATCCGAGGCGCCTTCACGTCTTTGATCATCGTTGTCTGCGAAGTATTGCTAGAGAAATCAAAGGTACAGTTTAAGGAAGTGCACTTTAAATAAGAAAATAATACTAATGCGTGAAGAAAATATAGAAAAGAAGATGGAATTACGAATGTGCCAGTTACTCAAAAAATGGAAAGGTTGGGTGCTGCCTCCCGAGAGTATCAAGTTGCCGCTCAAACCCCTTAACGGTAGATTCCATGACAACACTATACAGAAGCATGTTCCAGCGCTCCATGACTCGGCGTGAAAGCCGGATTCCCGCCCTTATCCGATCGCACTGCGATTTGTGCAGCTTCAGGGAATGACCGCGTAGTACAGACAATCTAGCGGGAGTGAAAGGCTCAAATAAATCTGGACCAACGTTCCCAGTTAAGATACGGTAGGTTAGGATTAGGTCTCCTCTAAGCCCACTGTAATTCATTTTGAATGCATTCCAAAACTAACTGGACGCTCGGGGTAAGTCCGTTCTCCTAATCCCTCGACTAACCTAGTACCCACTCGTAAAACCCTCTCTAGCTACCTTTTTTCCCGGAGGAGACAAGCTTGGTCGCATATTCCAGATGAGGCCGAAGGAAACCCAAGAGAACAGTCTCGTAGAGATGTCGCCCGTCAAGACCCCGAAAGAACGTCGTATTAACAACCACATGCGGAAACCTGATCATGCCTCCATGGGCGTGCCTTGCATAGTCGAGAATAAATATTTATTTATTTAGATCCACTTCGCTACATACACAGGAGAGTTCGACCCCACCGATCAAGTACTTCGTATTAGGACAACCTCCTCAAATTCGAAGAAAGGAGCATTTTGCCTGCTTTATGGGCAGTAACCATAAAGAAGACCAGTCCAAAACCTTATCCTATGCTCACTGAATAGCTTCGGAACCCCCAGAAACATGGACAATTTTCCACTGCTTCAGCTCATCAGTAACTTGCAGCGATGGTACCTGAAGCTCCGCGAGTAGGTCATTCACATAGATAGAGAACATCAGCGGTTCAAAACCAAGCCCAGCGGCACGCCACTGAGGACAGACTGCCTAAACGATATGCCCGGCCTACCCGTACAGACTGTTCTTTACCCTCCAGGAAGTCAGTCACCCAATGAAGGGCACTGCCAGATACCCCGTAGGAGGTCAGCTTTAGCGCGAGCGTCAAATGGGGTACCCTGTCAAATGCCTTCGAAAAATCGACGAAAAGCTCGTCCAGTGCATGGCCTTTGCCCATTGCATCAGCCAAACTTTCGCGACCCACCAGTAGATTCGTCAGACACGAACATCCCTTCCGGAATCCGAGTTGTACGTTGCTAAGTTGAGTAAGTCTACTCAGATGACTCTCCAATGAATCGCTCATTTCAGTTTGTCGAGGAGTTTGACTATAACACTCGTCAGCTTAACTGGCCTGTAATTTGCAGGCCGAATCCTGTTCCCATTTTTGAAGAAGGGACGGACGATAGCTTCCTTCCATTCAGAAGGTAATGCACAGCTGTCAAGCGATTTCTGAAACACCGCAGCCAGCGGTCCACTTACTTTTGCCGCCAACTCATGCAACAGCTTCCGGTGAATTAAATCAGGCTCAGAGGCCTAAGAACGGTTCAGCCCTTCTAACAACCTACGAACATCTGTCTCCACTACAATAAATTCAGATAGTCCTAAACCAACTGGGATGTTACAAAACAAGGTCAACGCCTGTCAAAGAGGGTTCCCTTACGAATGCTGCCTCATACTGCCCACTAAATACACTGGCTTTGTCATAGTCTGTATGCGCATGAGTACCGTCATCACGCATCAGCGCTGGAATTGCCATGATCGAACCGCAGCGCCGTTTGACATAAGCGAAGAATCTTTTTGGATTCTCTGAAGCTTCGTCCGCTAACTCCTTGAAATTGAGTCCAGCATCCCTTAGGTGTTGCTTACACCTATTTCTAGCCTTACTGTACTTGTCATATGTTTAGTTGGACGGAGCATCTCTGTAAGTCCGCCAACATCTAGACCTCTTTGTGAGTAGATGCCTGCAGGTGGGATCTATCCAAGGCGGCTGTGCTCGCGCCACCTTTCTCCTTGTGACTGAGATGAAGGGTGCAGAGACCTCTGTGAGGTAGGACTCAACTTTATCATAGGCTACCTGGACAGTATCGCCTTGGCTATCATTGATTGATAGTCTGCGTGCTATATGTTCGGGCGAGACGCAACAGTACTCCGGTAGAGTCTAGACAGAGTACAACTAAAGAGCATACAAACATGATCACCGGAACCCAGTGGAGGTCCGTAAGTAATATCCCCAAGAAAATCACGTGACTTAGCAAATACCAGATCCAAGACAGACGGCAGTTGGGCGTCCATGTACCTTGGGCTGCACACATTAATTAGCACTATCTGAAGGTATTCATTAGTTCCAGACCTGCGTCGTGCTCTACCAGAATTAGAAGTGGTAGGGTGGAAAAGGACCGCCGGCTGACCACCCGAAAATCCACTAACCGGAGGCGTTGTTCACCGGCCGCTCGCCTGTTATTGAGATCCTTGATGGCCTCCCTTAGCTTCCGCCTACCGGCCGGCTGAAGGCCCAGCCGAACACTAATATTTATATCTTTCATTTTAAACACAAACCATTCCCCAGTCTAATCAGCTTCCTGACAGTAACGCTGTTTCCGTGACAAAGTACCTCGTTCAGACGTCGAAAGGAGTACTGTGCGGTGGCCAGAACATCAGTACATTGCTTAAGGAAAGTTTCGTTGCATTGCGTGGGCAGAGTAAAGTCAGGTTGCCAAAGCCTAGACAGGAGAGGGATTAGGGTTGTCAACCAAAGCCTTTTTGCAGCCGCTATCAAGTCTGTTGCACCTCCGGTAAGTATATCCGCTATAAATAAGTGCCTTTTGGAACTGCTGTGAATTCATGCTGCCTATATAGGTGATCCGCTACTATCGGTCGGCCTCCACATCGCCTTTGCCGCCGTTATTTAGTCCGTTGCACCTCCGGTAAGTGTATCCGCCGTTAACAAGTGCCTTTTATAGCACCCGTCCATCTGCGGTGCCTAAATGGTTAGACCGCCACTACTGATAAGCCTCTACGTCATTTTTCCCGCCGCTATCAAGTCCGGTGCACGTCAGATGAGTGTATCCACTGTTAATAAGTGGCTCTTAGCACTGCTGTGTATCCATGCTGCCTATATGGGTGATCCGGCGCTACTTTATGGCCTCCACGTATTCTTTGCGTCTTCTGTACTCGGTTGCATCTCTAGAAAGTGCATTGGCTCTTCACTATTGCTTTTTAGGACTGCTGTGTATCTCTGAAATGTGCGCCATTAATAATATTCCTCCACGAAACATTTCCTGCTACACAGATACTCCGCTGCACCTCCGGTAAGTATATTGGCTGTTAATAATCGGTTTTTCAACAATGTGTATCCGTAATGCCTGGATGACTGATCCGCCACTACTGGTCAGCATATACGTCAGAGTTGCCGCCGATAGGTACTTCCTTTCATCCACAGTGTGTGTATTGAGTGTCCCAATGCGGCTTTTACTTATCCAGTCTATCCGTGATGCCTGAATGGTTGATGCTTAACTACTGGTCTGCTACCACATCACATATACGCCTCTAACTACCCCGTTGCACATCCCGTATGGGCGTGGGCTATAAATAGTTGGCTTTTACAACACCCCTCTCCGTGATGCTCACTTGAATGATGCGCCACTACCACTTTTCCTGCATGTAACATGGGCTGCCGCGTATATACACAGTTGCAGCTCTATCAGGTGCAGTGCTTGCCCTATTTTCGCTTGCAGAACCCCTGTTTATCAGTGATGAGTGATCCGCCAATACTACTTTTCCTACATGTAACGTGCCGCCGCCTATGTACTCCGTTGCACTTCTGGTAGGTGCGTTGCTTGTTTACTTTTCGCTTTCAGAACATCCGTCTATCCGTGGTGCCTAAACCAGTGATCAGCAACTACTGTCTGCCTCCACTTCACGTTTGCCATAGTAGAAATACTTCTTAGCACGTCATGTTGGTGTTTGAATCTGTACCAA